TCCTCCCATCTTCTTTATGTTATTCCTGTTTGAGGGCTTATACATGCCATCTTTATTTCCATTTTATGTGCATGTCTGTATTTTGCAACAGAATCTTATTAGCATGATTTCTATGAGGCCATAAAAGAGTTTGAAGACAGTTAAGGGATAACAAGCACAGCTACTGATAAGATCTTTTCAAAGATAAGGTAGAAGTGGGAAGTAGCAGTTGAATACACACACACACACACACACACACACACACACACACACAAATGTAGAACAATTCAGCATGCTGTTTTTTTTTAAAAAAAAGTTCAAATTCCAAAGAATCTTGCATAAAATTATCTAAATTTTGTCATTTCTGTTTTTTTAAAAAATATCAGTTGGCAATGAGTTGGACCTACCATTAGTTATATTTAGAATAGATAAAATAATGTGATGGGTGTGGGAATCATTTCTCATACACTAAAAAGAAATAGCTTGAGTCTGCATCTTGACATTACCAAAAGAAGGAACAGATACAAATGGTCCGTTGTAGTCTTTAAAAAACATCACTTACATTCTTTCAAATACAGTGACTGGGAGAAAGAAACACAATTTGAATGTGAGTTACAATATAATTAGAATTCATATTTGATTTAAACATAGCAGCTGCTAGAAGTCTTATATAAAGTTGTCTTACCTACAATAAATCAGAAGTTTGTGTAATCCTTGTTATATCTGTTTATTTTCTCCAGTCCACTTTTCTGAGAGGAATTGTGATACAAATTAACGGTAATAGACATTGGCTTTATTGATTTAATTGGATCTGCTTACAATATAATCAACCCCAATCTACTTTTCCAAAAGTTTTTGTAGTTCAATAGAAGGAATATGTCAATTATTTTCCACTTTTATGAATTAAGTCCACTAATGTTAATTTCTGCTTTTTCTCATAAAAATAACATTTTCAGAGGATTTCATTTCATTTTAGACAACTTTAGAAACTTATTTGTTTATAAATCAAAAGATAAATTACTCTGATTCTGTAGGAACAGTCCAATACTAAACACACTATTTTATCCTAGAGATAAAACCAGCAAAGTGCAGCCTTAATCTTTTCTCCATAGTATTAGATACAACTTGAATAATCTGAACCTAATACTATACTAATGGGAACACAGAATGAATATGCTAAAAAAAAAAAAAACATCCAAAAATTAGTCCTAGGATCAGTTCATACTTTCACATTACAAAAAAAATCTTCTTTGGCAGTTGCAAATTTTTAAACAACCTATCAGTTTTTGTTCCGTGTCATCTAGGATTGCACTTATGACTAACAATGTCACTATTAAAATTAACAATCAAAACAAATCCTATCCTTTAAGTGTGTCCAAAAGAAGAATATTTCATTACTCTTTCAGAAATTGTAACTAATTTGGATACTGACATTTTTTAAGGAATTGAATTCGGCAATTGTCTTCTTTTTCTACATAAAGATGTGATAATTGTAATAACATGGCAATCATGTTAAAAAAACATAGTTACCTATTTATAGTGGAAAAATCAATTTGTGGCATCCATTTGCCAAGCATCAAGGAAATGAAGTCCTTGATAAAACATTTCTAGTTCTTGAAGCAAATGCTGTATTTTCCATTCTTGCTTAAGCAAAGAGGTCTGGTTATTATTAGAATACTAATCAAGAAGGAAACAGAAGTCCACTTCTCTTCCGCTCTCCCCCTTCCTTTCCCAAAATTGGCAGGGGAGAAATGTACACATTTGAAAATGAAGTAAAGACAAAAATTAAAAGGCTGAATATCTGCAAATAGCCGGAACATCAATAAAATGTTACTATAAATAACTCTAGCAAATTTTGCAGGTGTGCATTCAGAGTCTCTCCTTTTGGCATTTATTAAGCTATGCTTCTTTTTTTTGGAGTGTCTTCCCCCTTCCCCATTTCTTATCATTTTATAAGAAAATAACCTTTAAAATTTGAGGTGCAGATTATCTGTAACTGATATCTATTGCATACTGTCTATTATATCACTGATGATAAATCTCTCTTGCCCACATCTCAGCCATGGCCTCTGCATACTGAAAATCGAGCCTAGCCAGAACATTTGTCTTTGATTTCATTTTCACTTTCATTAGTACTGAAAAGCACCTTAGTTTGTTTCCATGTGTTTTTAATTTCTTCCTTTAAACTTGGTCAGTTTTCACCCTGGACACCAGAAGAAAGTGTGCAATGTTTTTACAAGATGTTTTAGAAGTTCTGGGGACCTGCCCATTCATCCCACAAGCAATTCTGAGGAGGAGCAACTGGAATTTAGGAAGCAAAGGAGTTGTAAGCTGGTGCTTGAATACCTGAGTGAAAACATGGAAACAAAGTTGGAAAGTGCAATTTAGGCCATCCACTCCAATGTCTGGCTGAATGCAGGAATCCAAATTACAACTTCCATGACAGATAGTCTATGCAGAGTTTTGGAGCGTTAATTCAGCACCAGAAAAATAAATGGCTAATGCTTCATTTAACGTCTTTATAAACATAATAAGTAGATTTTACAAACCAGTTGTAGATTGCAAGTAATTTCAGTAGCACATGAGTAGCTCAGAAACAGACATCAGTTTCACTTTAGGTCAGCAGGCAAGCATTATACACAGCAGAGGAAAGAAACAGTTTCATTTTCAATAGACAGAGTTCAACATAGCTGCAGAGCTTAAGCCATGCCTAGGCTACTTCTAGTTTCAGTTTCCAGCCTAGGCTACTTCTAGTTTCAGTTTCCAAAATAATCCTCATTGGCTCACTTAGTTGCTATGCCTATTCATTGGCTGACCTTGTTACCAAGCTTTATTCCAGTTCATGAATATACTCTGACATGGTCGGCTGCCTCTTGATAGAAAACATTGAATAGAAATGAATCCATTGCCTGTCGGACTATTCGATTATACTATTTTGCTACTTTTACCATTACCATTTGTTTTTCAATCAGAATGTGCCTTTTTTCAACTTACATCCATCATTCTGTATCCCATACTGATGTTAAATAATTTTGGATAAAACAAAAAATACAATCGTGCCCTGACTCAATGTCTACTTTTCTCAAGAATAAACAGTTTCTTCAACCTTGCTTCATAGGACTTTTATGAACCTATCCCTGTTTATTTGAATATTTCTTAAAATGCTCTGCCAGATATGGACCATTACTCAAAGGGAGGTCTGCCCAACACAGAATAAAGTGTAACATACCAGCTTACCGGGGTTTGTAAAAGAAAACAGAATGAATGATGCTGCCACAATATCTACAATTACAATGGGGGAAGTTCTTGCAAATGTTGCTTTCTTTGGAAATATCTTCTATCCTGTATGAATTAGCACAGTGAGCATTGGCCCATCACAATTTTCTGTGGATATTTTTTAAGAAAAGAAGAAAATTGTACCCCTGATGGAATTTAGTCACCTTGAACTGGATTATACAATTATCAGTGCTTTCCCATTCTGCCTTATTTACACATTAAGTATTCATTGTTTTCAGAATTCATTCTTTAACAATAATCCCATGAGACAGTATCCTATTGTCCTAAATATCACAGTGATACTTTATTTAAAGAAATACTGCCAACATATTTTATCTTAGGTAAATGTAAGAGATAGAATCATCAGGAGCAGAATAAGTTAATAAGAATTCATGATGCATTTATCATCTTGAGCACTGATATGGAAAAAAAGGAAAATAGTTTTAATAAGTAAAGATTGGAATTTTTTTGAGCTCGGTAGTTCCACTAAAGTATGTGTTTACATATACATACTTTAGTGTTGGAACAAGTCTGAATTTAAAAAGTACATTGTCTTGTCAAAATACATATCTTGTGGGTGATTGCTATAAGATTTCATTTTTATAAATGATTTGAATATAGTAGTCTTTTGATTTACAACTATTCATTTTTGAAGTTGCAGCAGCATTGAAAAAATGACTTACGATTGTTTTTCACACTTGACCATTACAACATTGAGGGGGGCTCATGTGATCAAAATTAGGACATTTGGTAATTGGCATGTATTTATGACGGTTGCAGTGTCTTGTCATGTCATCACCTTTGGCAACCTGATGATCAGCAAAGTCAACGGGAGAGCCACATTCACTTAACCGCTTTACTAACTTAACAGCTACAATGATTCACTTAACTATCACAAGAGAGATCGTAAAATGGGGCAAAACTCACTTTACAACTGTCTTGCTCAGCAACAGAAATTTTGGCTCAATTGTTGTAAGTCAAGGACTACCTGTAGTCAACCACCTTTTACTTAAAAAGTATCACTTTGGCTGCTTTAAATATTCAATTTTTAAAATGTGAAAGTTCAATTCTTAATTGTCTAACTATTTTGGAAGACATTTTAAATATTTAACTCAAAAAAGTTTCGTTATTTTCTTGCTGTATCTCCCTCCCTCCTTTCTTCCTTCACTTTCTTTTTCAAGATAAGAATTTTTATCCCTTAGGGAAGGAGGGCATTGGGAGGAAATGATGTGGATATAATTCCAATTTAGGAAAGTTCAAGTAGAGCAGGGATGTCAAACTCAGTTTGTCACGGCAGCATCACAAGATGTATCAGGACTTTCCCCCCTTCTCTAAAATGGGTGTGGGCGTGGCCAGTGCGTGACTCATCCTGCCCACGGGCCGGGAGTTTGACAGCCCTGAATTAGAATGTTCCATGCCTCCCTGCAGTCATTGGTCACAGTGTACATCATGATCAATAGCCTTTCATTTTCTGACCCTGCATGTCTACATTCCGTTTAATATGGAATTTTGAATATATTTTGTGTACTCCTTTTCATAGTTGGAAGAGTTGTCATGTGAATGAATCTAACCTTAGTTTGATAGTAAATCTGCTGGAAGCATACGGTTAACAGCTTCTGTCAGTTGATTAGAACTACTGGGCAGTCTTGCTTGGGAAGAGTGCAGTCAGGATCTTGGCAGGCTGTGTGAAGATGGACCATGAATCCCAACCTCTCCAAAACTAAAACGAATGTTTCCCTTTTCAGACTCGCTTTGGGCATTTTTCAAGCAATATGCAAAATAATGACTCTGCCTTGGATGAAGATGCTGATGATGAGCTAGACCCAGGAAGCAAGTAAGTTAATTTAGGTGTGATTTGAGCTGTGGTTTATTGACAGAGTTATACATCCAGGACCAATTGGTAAAACCTTAGGGGAAACTCTAAAGACCCAACAAAGCAAATATCGCACAGTTGGTGGGAAACCGTGGATTACTTTTGAGTGCCACTCAGAGGCAAGGTAAACAGAAGAATCCTGAGCAGTGCCTTTAATTATGGAGAAAACAGAACAAATAAGAGAAAGGCAGACTTAGTTGTTATGCTGCTTGTTGTAAAAAGGGAGAGCATAAATAAAATATAGGTTGTCCTTTACTTATGACCACAAGTGGGAACAAAATTTCCATTGTTAAGCAAGGTGGTTGTTAAGTGAGTTGTATCTAATTTTATGACCAGGATTTTTTTTTTATTTTATTGCCAGGATTGTTAAGCAAATTATTGCAGTTGTTAAGTAAATCATGGGGTTGTTAAGCAAACCTGGCTTTGACTTTGCTTGCCAGAAGCAAAGGAGGAAGGTAGCAAGTGGGGATCACATAACTTTGGGACACCGCAACCACCATAAATGCATTCTGGTTGTTAACCACCCAAATTCTGATCATGTGACCATGACCATGGAAATGCTGTGATGATTGTGTGACAGCAGTTTAGAAGTCACTTTTTTCAGTACCATTATAACTTTGATCGGTCACTAAGTGAATGGTTGTGAGCCAGGGACTGCCTGTATTGAAAGTGTTGATTAACTTTCAGCTGGGATAGAAGGTATAGAAAGTAACTGGTGGACTGAAAGATAAAGTGGAACAATATGATGTATACAGGAAAAAATAATGTACAGGCACTCTGTCAACCAGCAATTCAAAACCTGTATCTAAGGGCATATTGTTTGGGGAAAAAAACTTGCTATAATTGTGTGTGTGTATGTGTGTGTGTGTGTGTGTATCCCTGAATGCAACAATATACTGAAAGAAGGCTTTCCACTGCATCTGTATAGGATTTCCTGATTAGTGTTACTTCTGCTGTTCCTCCTGCATGTCTGCACCAAGTATACTTAGATGCAATCACATATAGCAGCCTCAGTTTGGCTCTCTCCAGATGTGTGGATTTGAAATCCAGCTTGTTAATAGTGGCCGTACCTCTTTGGGAAGTGAAGTCTACACATCTGGAAGGGCATCCAGGTTGAAACATACAGCTATATATTTTTACACCTGAATATTGACTCAGCAGAGTCAGAATATTGCTCTCAAGGCAATATTCTGTACCAATTCCCAACCCGTAGTGCCTCTGCAAGGCTACTGCTTGGCTTTTTTTCAAATTATGAATTATAAAGTAACAGCAGCAGTTCAAAAAGAAACAAAGGCCACGTACCTTTCAAGTCTGGCTAACCTATTAAAATTAAAACTATATTCGATAATAATGTAGTAGGCCTCCAGTTCTTAAATTCCGAACATTTAACCTAAGTACATTTCAGCCATCAAAAGCTTAGGAAATAATAATGAAAAATAGATCATACTGAAATCAATCCCATCCACGTGGATTTGAAAATTCCGTCAAAGAAGTACTTGCAAATGCAAGGTTTTGAAAGAGCTCATTCTTGAGCTGTGTTTTCTGAAGTGAGATTTTCACTCACAAAAAGCCTATACACTAAGGCATTGTCACAATGCATTACGGGTATGCATTTAAAAAACATCTCCCTGCAGCATTTCCTTGTTTTCCATCCCAACCTGAGGACAAAAATGGGCATAGTTTACCTCCCTCCACCCCTCCTTCTAGCTTACTGGAAATGAGAATTTCACAAGTTGCTATTTCTGACTGCTGCTGTCCAAAGTCACAAAGCTAAATAATTATGTTTTTTTTTTCAGAACAAATGCAAGGGCTATGAGGCTCCCCCCACCCCCCACCCCCCCCAAAAATAGATCTTTGTAGTAACTGTCAGCTAAAGCTTCACCAACATTTAAATTCATTGTCATGGTCATAAAATACCACGGTAGTGAAAAGACTTTATATTTTTCTTTAGATTGTCATCGGAAGACAGTGAGGAAACGTCTTACTATTTGTATGACAGTGACGACTCTGGGGAATTATCCAAAACGTCTGTTCCTCCTGGAGAAATGGATCTGCTGGGAGAGATTTTGGATACACTGAGTACACATAGTTCTGATCAAGGGAAGCTCTCGGGGGCAAAAAGCTTGGACTTTTTTCGATCGATGGATAACATTGACTACAAGTCAAAGGTTAGTTGCTTTATCTTGCCTCCATCTTAAATCTGAAATAACTTCTTTGTAACGTTGGCTTTTATGGCTGGTATACCTTTCAGATTTTTTTGACCCCTTCTGCTCTCTAACCCTTTATAAGCCAGTTGTTAGAGTTGTTGATCAACAGGTCAATATGTGTGTGTGTGTATGGTATTCAGCTTTGTTCGGGTATTTTCCCATGTCATTATAGTTGTGCTTTTAAAGTTGTAGCGACGTTTCAGCAGAATCTCATCTGCCATCATCCGGCTTGTGTATTGGGTATGTCTGTGTGTCAGGCTTTGCAGCCGTTTCTGTTTTAAATTTGGTGCTGGCCTCGTGCTTTGTTAGAATGTTTTTTTCTTCATCCTGATTGGTCTTGATCTGTGTTTCTTGGTCTTGGAGTTTGCTGTGTTCTGCTTGATTGGTGTTTCTAATATCTTCTGTCTGTTTTGTAGCGTTTTTTTTGTCTTGATTGGCTGGCAACATTGTGTTTTGTGTATTGCGGGCTTTTAGCGCAGCTTGGCTTTGGGTGAATGTCCGGCTATCGTTTATTAGGAAGCTAGATTTCATCTGGGTGGCTGGCTGGGGTGTGTTTGGGCTGGAGGTATCGGGGGGCGCCTGTTTGTGCCCAGGTGTTTGCTTGGCTTGTGGTATAGAGATTTGTTTGTTTGTGAAGAAATGACTCCACCAGACTGTCAATTATCCACTATCCAGACTTTTTTTCTTCTTTCTTAACAATAATTCTTATGTCTGGAGTGTTTGTGGCAGATGCTTGTCTGTTTGAATTCTAAAGTTCCAGAGCACTTGAGCTTCTCCATTTTCTATTATTTTCTTTGTTTGGTGATTCCACCAGTTCTTGCTTGCAAACAGGTGGTATTTTTTTGCCGATGTTCCATTATACCATTACTGCTACTTTTTCATGCTGTTGTTTATAGTCAGTCTGTGCGACCTTCTTGTTACAGCTTACCAGCTTACCGGTTCACTGTTTTTTCAGCTTCTTTGCTGAGGCGACATTTGGTTTCTGATGGTGATTTCTGAATTCTGGCTTTGTATGCATTTGTTCTTAAGGCTTGGTTTTTTGCTGCCAGAGTTAGTCCCTCTGTCTCTTTCTTCAACACTCCTTTTTTTAGCCATTGACAGATCTTATTATCTGCTTTGCCTGCTAGTGTTTTTAGGTATTGATTATGTAATACTTTGCCTTCCCATATCTCTTTTCTTCATTTGGTCTTTCTTATAGGCCAGTTTAGTTTCTTTGGTATTCGGTAAGTCTTCATAGTATACTAGCTTCAGTGCTTCTTTACTGTCCTTCAGAAATTCCTCCAGTGTCCTTTTTTCTTCTTCAACTGTCTGGTGTACTTGCAACATTTCATATCCATATATGTTCCTTGATAAATACAGTTTGTCAACATCACTGCATGGTTGAAGGGCTATGATTCATTGTCACTGTTTTTCTGATTGATTGATTGATTGATTTTGTTTGCTGCCCAACTTGCTTCTAGTTCAGCCTGAAGCATTGTTCCAGCTGCATATCTAATAACTGGAATTGTCCAGATATTAATCTCCTTGATGGTATTTTCACCACTGATCTTGGACTTTTAGGTTCTTCATCACTCTTCTAATGTATTCACTACTAATCATCTTCTTGACTTCAGTGTACTTGATCTTTTCAGCTTGATGGATTCCCAGGTATTTATACTGATGTTCATCCACTCTTGATGTTATTCCATAGGGCATATTGATTCATTTGATTTTCACTGTTTTTTTTTCCTGTTGTACGTAACTAAGTAAGATGGCACAATTGCTTGGTTCACACTCATCACAGTCTCTGGACTGTATATTTAGACAATGTTGAGCAACGATTCCGTTTCAGATGGTGTTTCTCCATATAGCTTCAGAGTGTTTGTGTAAAGGAGGTAGGATAGCTTGGCAGATGTTTTCATGTTTGATAGCCATGGCCTGAATTGTTCAGAGCAATCAATGACAAACAGTAGTGGTGATAGTGAGTCTCCTTGAAAGATTCCTTTCATGATATTAACCTCTCTCAATCCATCCCCATTGAACAGCAATTGTCTCTTCCATTGTGCCATTAATCTTTGCACAATGTTTCTGATTATTCTACTGACTCCTCTTATTTCTAGGCATGTCTTTCTGTCTGTCAAACTTTCACATTTCTGTACCTTTTATTTCCCTCCAATTCATGTGGCAGGGAGTTGAATGCCTTCTTGTAATCTATCCAAATTGGTCTTCCTTCTCTTAAAGTTTTCCAAAATCATCTTGTCAATTAGAAGCTGATCATTTGTTCCTGATTGAGTAGTTTTCCTTCTGCTGTGATCTCTAAGATCTAGCCGGACCAAAATACTGTGATTAAGGATGAAAAGAATTTCTAAATTTTACAACATTAAGAGTTGTCTTCTTCAGTTTTTTTTATCATCTAGAATATCTTTACATCCTGAAACTAACTCAATTAACTCCTGAAACTAACTTGGATTAACTCAAATTTAAAACTTTTGTGGGGATAGAAGTAAAAGTCAAAATTTGGAAAATTGTTCTGTAAGGAAAGAAATTTTACATAATTTATTATTGATTCATTCAGTTGAATAAAAATGGGCAAGTTAATTAAGATGTTTTAAAATTTAGTGTAATTTTTTTATGCTATTTTTTCTGATTAAAAATACAGTGAATTGGTTATTTAGAGCCACCAAGGGGAAGAATTCTGATAGGCTGCACATTCTCTTTTTTATTCCAGAATAAATCCAACACTCCAAGTGAGAGCAATCTTGCCCTACTCTGTAGTGGTTGGACATCTGACCTGGCTACTTGGAATCAGCGACAGGAGGACAACATCCTCACTGAAAAGAAGCTTCCTCAGTCACCCAGGAAATGTGTTCCTTCTAGCAGTTATAGAGAATCTGTTTTTGTGCTAAGTAACGAAAACCCTAACCTTACCTCCAGTGCTGATGACTTGACCTCACCTAATAATCATCTAAGATCTCCAGATTCACCCCAAGAAACTATGCAGGAACATTCTCTGCAAACTTTGCAACTGAAGAGTAAGTGGAATGAAACACTAAGCAGGACCTCTGCAGATGAGAAGTCACCAAGCTTGAGTCCAAATCCATCGTTCCTCGTTCCATGGGAGAGAGAAACCCAAGATGGAAATGAAATTCTTGAAGAGGGTGGGCTTCTTCAAGAAGTGGTGTCATTATGTAAACTGACTTCTGCTTTCAATCAAGGTTTAAACATTTCAGGGGACGGGTTTTCCAACAGCAGTGGGAATAAAACGTAAGGAATATTTATTTATTGAGAGGTTACGTGCGTGGTAAATGACTAAAGGAAAACAACTCAGGATATCATAATAAAGGAAATAAGAGATCTTCAGGTTTTTTAATCTGTTTTAGTTGGCCTTTTTTGTGTGTTTTTATTCTTTTATTTTGAGCCTATCTCCTTTGAATATATTTGCTCCACTTCAGTTCACAATATAAGCTTGCATTTGGGATGGAGCTGTATAAGAGAACCAGTTTGGTCTAGTGGTTGGCGCACCAGCCTAGAAACCAGGAGACTGAGTACTAGTCCCACCTTAGCCATGAAAGCCAGCTGGGGGACTTTGGACCAGTCATTCTCTCTTTCAGCCCAACCTACCTCACAAGGTTGTTGTTGTGGGGCAATAAGAGGAGGAAGGAGTATTAGGTATGTTATTAAGTTATTTATAAAGGCTAAGAAGAAAATGTGTTTACAGAACTTGTTTAGCATGCAGTCAGTTACAGCTTCATCCTGGATATTTCCAGTTGTATTTCCAGCTGCCATGCCTGAAACTCACTGCCAGCCAGTATATGCAATACTGAGTTCAGATAACGTGCCATCTTAACTAAAGCATTCTAGAATCATGGTACTAGCTTGATTTCACATTTAAGCCATAGCTGGTCTGTGGCATGAAACAGTTTTTAATCATTTCCTTTCCCTATATGCAAAAAGAAATGTATCAGACAGACACATTTATCCTATAACAGAACCCACGAAATGTAGCATGACTGACTAGTCTGAAACTTAATATGTGATCTAAAGGCCTTAAACTGAAAAGGGCAGATTTAAATACCTTAAAGGCTGAACTGTAAATATTTGGAAAACGAGCCACCATTATTTCATAGCAGCAAATGTGCTTGTGTAAAAAGAAATGCAGACCATTTACCAAACAATAGTACTCCTAAGTTTACAGAGGATCACCAGTGTAATATTGCTTATGCAGTGATTTTAGTAAACTTATGAGAACTTTTTAAAATGTGCTGACATTGCCAAGCACTACCTATCAGTAAGATGAGAATTCTGATATGTGTTTGTGCCACTTAAAGTAACACCAGTTGATAATGATTGCTTGGGATTTATTATAAAATGTTTTGTTTTTAATTTTTAGCAGACAATGCCCCTGTCTTCCAGACTCTGAAAAATGGTACTGTATATATATATAAATATATATTGAAATGTGAAATGCAGTGAAAAGTTTACAACTGCTTTCAGAACTTATTCACTGAATATGTTTTACATTTTGGTTTTCTTGAAATACATATTTTGACCACAGTTGGAATTTTAATGAACCTTTGAAAGATGTAATATTTTTAATTGAAAATAATCTGTTCTTCTGGAGATCATGCCTCTTTGAAATCATGCACAGATAACTTTGAAATTTTTTTAAAGTCATTGGGTTGTTGTTAAGTGTGCTGCTTAACTAAATTCTATACTTTTTTAAACAACAAAGGAACAGTTGCAGTAAAAAGAGAACTATACTGGACTCATGGTGCAACTCCTTTTTGGTTGTAGGCAAATGAGTCAAAGAGCCACCAAAATTTCTAGCATTTAGGTTCAATTTGTGAAGAGGATGAGCTGCATCTATTACAATCTCCCTACCAATCACTGACAGCTTTTTAAAATAGTCTTCTAAAGACTTTGTTCAAAAATCAATCATCTACTATGCATATATCAATGTTTAAAAGCTCCTTCAAATTTGTCACTAGATCAAATATTTTGGAAATTGTCAGACTTGGTGTCTAGATATATGTATAAAACAGCTGACAGATTTTTAAGCCCTATAGAATAGCGGTCCCCAACCTTTGCAGCTTGGTGGTCCAGCGGTGGGAGAGAGAAAATGGTTCTGTGTGAGGGGCAGGTGTGCATGCAAGTGTCCACAGTTCCATTTATGCAAGTGGTGGTTGCATGTGAGCACCTGTCACTCATCCAAATGGAGCTTTGTGCACATACCACACATGCAAATGGAACTTCATGCCTGAACATGTGCCCACCACTCGCACAAGTGGAGCTGTGTGTGGGCCACGGCCCGGTAGTGAAGGCTCCTGCTATAGAAAGATTAATTGAATGTAGAAACAGTTCTTTTTTTTCCTCCAGCACCTATTTTCTACAATGTACGGTTCTTTCTCTATTGTACTGTACCATTCGTTCTTCAAGTCTAAGGTTTATCCAAAACATATTTCACTGTCCATTACACAAGTTTCATTTTCAAAAAGAAGGAAAACTATGCATATGCAAACTTTCCACAGCAATTATAAAGTGCTTTTTCTCCTTTTTTTTAAAAAAAGGTTAAATCCTGCATGAATATCTCTGTGAATCTTACACAACAAGATTATCTTGAGGTGGGGAGAGAGTGAAAAAGCTTTATCTAGTAAAGTTCACCAGTTTTCAGTGACTTTCAAGGTTAGCGAATGTGATTTGGGATTCCATCTATATGGAATTCTCTCATGGTAAAGTATGTATTGATGAGTCTTCTTGATGAACTTTTTGAAATGTAACTTTCTTTGGTCCTTGAACTTACACCTATGCCAGATTTTATTATTGTTGTAATTTTTTTCAAGGGTAACAATTGTGCCTTAAAAATGTGTGCTGCGACACTTGCCAACTCTTTTTATTATTGACAAAAGGACAAAGTATGTCCAAAGGATCAGAGTTTCTAAAACTTTCAGCTAGCAACTACTCTGTTTTCCACCAGTTATTGTCGAAAAAATTCTCTATATAGACCGGATAAGTAATATTTCTATAGTGACAGAAATATTACAGTTCCCATATATTTTACCTATTTTATATTCACTGTTTTGGGGAAATTTAAATTACTGTTTTTAATATGGTGAGTTTTTTTTTTAAAAAAAAATATTTTTAAAAATATTTCTCAGGAATCCCAGCAATTATTTCTATTGATCACATGATTCTTTCTATAAAATATTGGATTATTTTACTGAAATTTAGCTTATTTATTCAATACCATTACTCTGTCTAGAATGCAAATGGACAGCCTAGTGTTCTCAAGATGTCTTGGACTTCACTCCCATTAGACTAACCGGCATGGCTAGTGGGAAAGACAAAGGAGGTTGTAGTTCAAAACATCTGGAGGGCAATTGATGGCTTATTCGTATTTAGAACAAATAATATATTGTTTAGTCACACAGGTGATTAGTTAGCTATTCAAATTTACTTTTAGTAGATGATATAAAATCACTGTTAGTTTATTTATGCCCACCATGGATTTTATCAGATATGCAAAAGGGAAATCTATTTATCCTATCCCCAAATCAAAAGGTCCAGACAGCATATAGAATAAGTGCACCAATAGCTTTCTTTAACCAATGTCTTTTTCCAAGAATGGAAAAAATTATTTTGAAAAAAATCAACTAATTTAGTTCAGAGATGCTTATGCATATAATGGATGAGAGATTGCTTTTTTTAAAATCATCTTCCAAACCCTCAGATACATATCCTGTGCGCCCATTGGCTTTTGCTACATTGCAGAAATTAAAATTACTTAAATTAGAACGATATTTGTTCAGGTACTTCTATGAACAGAGAATTACATGGAGTAATGTGTTGCAATGAGACCCACTTTGATGAATAGTAGAATAGTGAAAAAGGCTGTAGATTTTTTTTAACTGACTTTTTAAATATTTCCCTAGCATTTCAAAAAGTGATATTACTACTTTTTGATTGTTGTGAGTTAGATTATCAAAAGCTGTCAGTACTGGCTAACTTTGCTCTCAAAGATGTCAACAGTGATTTTCCAATTGATTGAATGGATGGCTTGCACTGATGAGCACCTTTGAAAATGTTAATTTTCTTAGCTAGACTAGGTAAATCTATAAAAAGATCTGTTAACATTGTTTTAGCAGTGCTTAAATTATTATACTTAAGTTGCATTAGATAAATTATATAAAACAAAACAAGTATCCCCTTTTATTCATTGTGCCCATAGTTTACTAGTATATATTGTAGACTGTATTGAGCAGGGAATGTAAAATAGTAATGCTAGTTGCCAGTTGGGTGAGAAGTGTATGTCCATTCCTGTAATTGCTCCCTAATATTTCATAAGTGAGTACAGGCCCCTACTTAGCTAAAAAAATTAGAGAAGTATGTCATTGGGAACTTTTTTCTTATGCATCTTTGCTTCAATATAGCAACACTATAGATGCCACTGTTAACGTGGAACTCATTTGCTCTGATAGAATGTAATTTGAAGTTAGCCTTTTCAACAAGAGGCATACAAACCTTAAACACTTCTTTTTTAAGTCAAACTTAACAAAATTACCAAACCTTACATGAATGCAGCATTCTTGCCCCTATACATTCTTCTGAAGACATTACCATTTTTTTCATATTGGGGTTTTGCGAGCACCATTTCAGAGTGCCTTTCTGCCAATCCTTGGTATAATTCAAGGAGAAAAGGAATAAGATGTGTGACTGTCCTTGTTACTATAGGAAGTGTAAGGTTTACAGCATGCATCTAGACAACTGCCCCATGATGGCTGGGGATGGTCAAGAGTTTTATTCCCTTATATCTGGAGGACACAGACTTGAGGAGGGCTAGATCAAACTTTAATTCACAAACAAGACATTGGTTGGCTTTGATAGGTGTAGAAAAAAAAAAAACAATTTTAAAGTTCTCACTTCCTAGACAATATTAAACCCTATGCTGAATTCAAAGGAACATGTCACTGCCAAGCTCCTTAAACTCACACCTGAAGGAAGGTAAACAATCTTAGACTTCTTGTTTTAGCACTTTTTCCTCTTCATTTTAATATAATTTGGTGTTATTTGGAGCCATTTCTTTTCCTCTTCAAGCAAACAGGCTGACATTTTCATGCCTTACACGAATTTGAAAAGATGGTTGGCTGTGAAAGAAAATTCCATTGGTGCTTCCTTCTGCCCAAGATCTCATAACTCTTTCAATCTGGGAATAAGAGTCAATTTGTGTAGTTATTCTCTCCTCCCCACTTATTTCAAGTAGCTTCATGCAAGACATAATCTTGCTGGATTGTGTTCCCAAGAGTTGAATGTGTTTGGTGCCATCCAACCATTCTTAACCACACTCTGTGTCTGCTGCTGATAATTCTCTCCTTTTATCTTATGGTGGTGTTGCTTCTGTTTAAGGGATCCAACTAAGTAAATGTCCTAAGGGCCTCTTTGATCTCCAGTATCACAAAAATTCCGAGCAATAAACCCAAAAGTTCTTTTTCAAAAGGTAATTGGACTTAGTTTTGGGAAAAACAAAGTACAGTTGCCTTTGGAAAAAGC